CTAGGTTCAGACTTTGGGCCACCTACCTGACTTTTGAAGTCTTTTTTGTTTCTCTATTTATAAATTGGGAATGAGACCTGCTGCAAGAGTTTTGTCATTAATTAGTAAGAGTGTTTTGTTTTTTTTTTTAAATTTACTTTTTTTTTTGAGATGGAGTCTTGCTCTGTCACCCAGGTTGGAGTGCAGGGGCAGGATCTTGGCTCACTGAACGCTCCACCTCCTGGGTTCCCGCCATTCTCCTGCCTCAGCCTCCCAAGTAACTGGGACCACAGGTGCCCGCCACCACACCTGACTAATTTTTGTATTTTTAGTAGAGATGGGGTTTCACTGTGTTAGCCAGGATGATCTCGATCTCCTGACCTCGCGATCCACCCGCCTTGGCCTCCCAAAGTGCTGGGATTACAGTTGTGAGCCACCGTGCCCGGCCGAGTAAGAGTGTTTTTAGAAGTGCTTAACTAATATTAACTTGTTAGTTTTTAATCTTGACTGCTGTCATTACTTCAAGATGGTGTGGAAGTGGAAGTAGGGGTGAGAGGCAAAGACAGCAGAAGCGAATTTTGAACAAGATAATTTATTCAGCCTGTTAAGTTTATGTAATGAGGTCAGCACAAATATTTATGAATGAATATAGATACAAGCAAGTAACGATATAAGATAGGATTTTATAAATAAAGGCCACTGTTTGGCTCATAACAACATCATGATGTTGATCTACAACAAATGTTTATGTAAAGAATGCTTTGTCTAATAATTTTGCGTGAAAATTCCATCATCCTTGGGAAGTAGGTTTTATTGTCCTGGAGAACAGAATCAAGACCGGTATGTGAAAGTTATAGTTGAGGTGTGAGGCTGGTGATAGCTTTTGTTTTAGTTTGGAAAAGCATTTTCTAACAGTTAAAACTATCCACTAATAAAGTAGACATTATAGCAGAGTAATGAGGTCCCTGTCAGACCTTGTATTCAAGTGGAGACTATGTGATTTATGTCAGAGATGTAATAGAAGGATTCTTGCATGGGGGCAGGTATTTGGATTAAGTAATTGCTAAAGGCCCTTTCAGTTGGAAGATGTTGATGCCAGGTGAGAGCTGTCTTTACACCATTCAGTTAACAAATAGTTGAAAACCTCCTCTGTTTTATTTGAAAGCTTGAAAGCCACTGGTTTTCTTCTTCTCCCCCTCCCCCTTCCCCTTCCCCCTTCCCTCCCCCTCCCCTTCCCCTTCCTCTTCCTCCTTCTCCTCCTCCTCATCCTTCTCCCCGAGACTGAGCCAAAAACTGTTTGGTTTGGTTTGTTTGTTTTGAAACAGGGTCTCACTCTGTCACCCAGGCTGAAGAGTAGGGGCACAATTGTCACACACTATATAGCCTTGACCTCCCAGGCTCAAGCAATCCTCCCACCTCAGCCACTCGAGTAGTTGGGACTACAGGCACACACGACCATGCTTAGCTAGTTTAAAAAAGGTTTTTAGAGACAGGGTCCCACTATGTTGTCCAGGCTGGTCTCAAACTCCTGGGCTCAAGTGATCCTCTTGCCTCAGCCTCTCAAAGTGCTGGGATTATAGGCATGAGCCACTGTGCCCAGCCCGAAGTTGTTTTTTTTTTTTTTTTTTTGAGACAAAGTCTTGCTCTGTTGCCCAGGCTGGAGTGCAGTGGTGCTATCTCAGCTCACTGCATCTCTGCCTTCCTGGTTCAAGTGATCCTTCTGCCTCAGCCTCCCTAATAGCTGGGATTAGCCACCACGCCCAGCAAAATTTTGTATTTTTAGTAAAGATAGGGTTTCACCATGTTGGCCAGGCTAGTCTCAAACTCCTGATCTCAGGTGATCCACCCTCCTTGGCTTCCCAAAGTGCTGGAATTACAGGCATGAGCCACCGTGCCTGGCCCAAATCTCCATTTAGAATTTGAAAAGCTTAAGCAAGGTATTAGTGGTGATGTAACAAAAGCTGTTGATCTCACCTGTTGGGTGGGTTTAGGTCAGGGTCCACAGCATGCACCTGGAGACATCAAATGTAAGAATGTGCTGTTAAGAAGTTTGGCTTAGTGCTTCAAATTTTTGCTAAAGAGCAAGGCATTCTAGATAATGTTGAGCCTCTAAATTACTTTGTTAAAATATGTTTTTTTAAAGAATAGCCTGTGTGCTATGTTGACATGTGAGGTCTATGATGCCGTAACACTGGTTTTGATTCACTTCTCTCACTCAGAAGACTGGCTGTGAAATTGCCTACATGCCTATGGCTTAGTCAAGTCTTCCTTTTTGCTGAGCACCTGTTTGTGATTACTATTTTGTGTACTTATTGTATATTTCTCACATTCTTTCAGAAAGTTATTAAAATGGCTTTATAGTTGCATTGCTTTTTTTAAAGAGAGAAGATTGAAATTTATTTTGCAGCTATACACTTGGTTTTGGATTATTCATGTGTATAAATTATTATTTTTTTATTTTTTATTTTTTTTGGGGGGACGGAGTCTGGCTCTGTCACCCCGGCTGGAGTGCAGTGGCGGGATCTCGGCTCACTGCAAGCTCTGCCTCCCGGGTTCACGCCATTCTCCTGCCTCAGCCTCCCGAGTAGCTGGGACTACAGGCGCCCGCCACCTCGCCCGGCTAGTTTTTTGCATTTTTTAGTAGAGACGGGGTTTCACCGTGTTAGCCAGGATGGTCTCGATCTCCTGACCTCGTGATCCGCCCATCTCAGCCTCCCAAAGTGCTGGGATTACAGGCTTGAGCCACCGCGCTCGGCCGTGTATAAATTATTTGAGCTGGTACCACTTCCTGTGACCTAAGGCTGTGGCTAAAATGGGTTTGGAGAAGAAATTCTTGCCTATATTGGGGGATGGGAGGAGGATTTATTCATCTATTGATTCTGAATTTAATTCCTAATTCCTGAAGGTAGGGACTGATTTACTTTATAACTTGACATTTTGAATTTGAGGTATCTTAGACCAAAAGTTCTTTATGTATTAGTAATTCTTTCTGATAATTATGATATTGAAACTCAGGTAAATTTAAAATTGACAATATCTAGAATAATAGATAGTCAAAGATCATAGATCATGAGGCTGTAGTGAACTGAATAAGTTTATTTTTTAAACCTTGAAAGTATCTTAGGAGTCATCTAATCCAAGTCTAGATTATAGAAGAGACAACTGAAACCCTGTAAGTAATCTGACCAAAGTCACCTAGTTAATACATATAGGTGTATGTAGGTAAACTCATATAGTGTGAGGGTGGTAAGAGTAGTGACAGCATGGTTGATGTCCCTTTAGAAAGGAGAGTTTTTAAAACTTAGAAATAGAAGGGTGATAAGAAGTGCCCTAGAATTTCTGATCTGCTAAGCTTCAAATTGGTTGGTTTGTTGGTAGCTGATGTGGAAGTTGGCTTAGTCATTGAATCATTTATTCTTCAGACATTTGACTACCTACTATATTATAGATGCTACACTAGATCTTGGAGTTACAAAAATGAAGAAATCGTGTCCCTGCACTCACGGATCTCTTGTACTACTAGAACAGGACAAGAGAGAATAATTTCTATTTTGCCATCTCTCTCTCTCAAAAAAAAAAAAAAAAATCCAGTGTTAGCAAGTTCGTGACCTACTGGTTTTATAACCCACAAATCTTGTTTGTTTATTTGCCTTGTCACTTATTGCCTTCAGCAATTATACTTTGACCTTTCCCAAAAGGCAGGGGATTGGTGGGTATGGTAGGGAAGGTGTACCTGGCGACTTAATGAATGAGTCTTCTATAGAAAACTGTAAACTTGGCAGAATTTGGTCAGAGATTGTTCTTCACTCATACTACTTCCCTCTGACTTTTAACCTCAGAGGAATGTTGGATTGGTGCCAGCTGTCAGGTCAGGGACATAATTTCTGCCAAAGTCTGAAAGAAGAGATCTTTTTCAGTTGAACTTATTTGGCAGTCATTTGTCCTGCGTGGAGAAAGACGTGTTTGGAGTAGATGTGTTTCCTGGGTTCATGAGGTTAATGGACAGAGATTGACTCTTGTTATGAACCTTTCAGGTCCCCACTCTGCTTTGTGGAGTAACTTATATTTAATTTAATTTAATTTTTTGAGATGGAGAGTCACTCTTTTGACCAGGCTGAAGTGGTGTGATCTCAGCTCAATGCAACGTCCGCCCCACGCGGGTTCAAGTGATTCTGTTGCCTCAGCCTCCCGAGTAGCTGGGATTACAGGTGCCTGCCACCATACCTGGCTAATTTTTGTAATTTTAGTAGAGACGGGGTTTCCCCATGTTGGCCAGGCTGATCTCAACCTCCTGACCTCAGGTGATACACCTGCCTCAGCCTCCCAAAGTGCTGAGATTAAAGGCGTGAGCCACTGCACCTGGCCTAATATTGTATTTTGAGTAGTTTTAGCCATCAGTTTACTCCTCTGCTAGCATCAAAACACTAGTCAACTCTGAAATTATCCAGTGTATAGTAATTGTTCATTCACTCAACAAATATTTATTGAGGGCCAGTGTGCCTAGCACTGTGCCAAGTGATACATGCAGGGGATATATTAGTGAAGGAGACATACAAGTTTCCTGCTTTCAAGAAACTTTTATATTAGAGGAGATGGCTAGACAGCAACTAATTAAAATAATTTGAGAGTATTCAAGTGCCAGGAAGGAAATAAACAAAGCTACCATGTTAGAGACTATTGCAGGTGGGGAGTTCTTCAGGATAGTAGCCTGTTGCTTCCTTCTTTAGTTTGGATAAGCAAACTCATGGTAGAAAAGCAGTACTCAGGAAAAGTACAGGAAAAGCATTTTTCAGAGTGGTATTACAGGTTACTGGTTAATGTAGATGTTGAGATATTAATGTTAATGAAAAGTTAGGAAATAAAATGTTACTCTTCATAATTTTAAAGTGCTGTATTTTAAAATTCAACTGAAATGAATGAGCTAGGATAGTTTCCCCATTTGGTTAGGAAGGTGCTGACATGGGGCTGTGATTATCCTGTTCCAGTGTAATTTGAGCCTTATGTATTTATTTATTCCTCAGGTGGATGCCTGAATTTTGATCTATGTTCTACCTACATCCAGCTGGCTGAAAGTACTTGATGATCACATGACCCTGGACATGGATGCTGTTCTGTCGGATTTTGTCCGTTCCACAGGAGCAGAGCCAGGGCTAGCGCGAGATCTCCTAGAAGGTGAGGAGTTGTAGGGGAGAATGAGAAAAGAGAAAGTAAAATGTAGTATTTATCATTAGGATGATTTGGAACATTTAAGGTGATCAGGAAGATACTTTGTGTATGGTAGGCCCTACAGTTAATTCTAATGATATACTTTGTGTGTAACCCATCATAATTTGAAATTTTAAAATCCCTTTTTCACCTTGAACTTCCTGGGGTAGTTTTTTCTACTGTCAGTTTATGCTCAGGCAGTGCAAGTGAAATTTTATATTAGTTCATTACAAACATAATTTTATTTTATTTTCATTTATTTATTTATTTTTGAGACAGAGTCTCGCTCTATTGCCCAGGCTGGAGAGCACTGGCATGATCTTGGCTCACTGCAATCTGTGCCTCCCAGGTTCAATCAATTCTCCTGCCTCAGACTCCCGAGTAACTGGGATTACAGGTGCCTGCCACCACACGCAGCTAATTTTTGTATTTTTTAGTAGAGTTGAGGTTTCACCTGTTGGCCGGACTGGTCTTGAACTCCTTACCTCAGGTAATCTGCCTGCCTTGGCCTCCCAAAGTGCTGGGATTACAGGCATGAGTCACTGTGCCCAGCCTAAAAACATAATTTTAGATCTTTAAGACTTCCTCTTTATATATAAGTGTCTTTAGGGTTTTCATGATGGGATCATCCATGGTTTTGTTCTTTCCTTACATAACATACATTACAGGTAATTCTATGTTGAGTAGATCAATTTAATGTTTTCATTTTGCTGCTTTTGTTTACTTCTATCTTTATATACATAAGTTTGAATGTTCTAGATTTTTTTATTGTTATTATTATTGAGATGGAGTTTCGCTGTTGTTGCCCGGGCTAGAGTGTGGTGGTGCAGTCTTGGGTCACTGCAACCTCCTCCTTCCCGGGTTCATGCAATTCTCCTGTCTCAGCCTCTGGAGTAGCTGGGGTTACAGACATGTACCACCACACCCAGCTAATTTTGTATTTTTAGTAGAGATGGGTTTTCTCCATTTTGGTCGGGCTGGTCTCGAACTCCTGACCTCAGGTGATCCACCTGCCTCGGCCTCCCAAAGTGCTGGGATTTCAGGCATGAGCCACCGTGCCCAGCTGAATATTCTAGATTTTAAGGTCCTGAAGGGTTAGAATCATGTCCCTAGGATTCTTTGTTTACAGTCACAAATAATAGATGGCAATATGAAAATATGTAATGACACAAACAGGCAGGCCTATGGGGAAGGGGCAAGTTCTTAGCATACATAGGTAATATTTTAAATTGCCGGCCCTTAACAAGGTGTGACAATTAGACATTTGCTTGGCTACCTGTGAGGAGAGCATGAGTTTGGAAACAGAAGATCAGGGTTTAAATTCCAGTTTAGTAATTCAGTATAGCTTTGCCTTTAATTTGCATTTTCTTTTTTTTTTTTCTTTTTGAGGCGGAGTCTCGCTCTGTCACCCAGGCTGGAGTGCAGTGGCGCGATGTCGGCTCACCACAACCTCCGCCTCCCAGATTCAAGCATTTCTCCTGCCTCAGCCTCCCGAGTAGCTGGTGGGACTACAGGTGCCCAGCTAATTTGTTTATTTTTAGTAGAGATGGGGTTTCACCATGCTGGCCAGGCTGGTTTCAAACTTCTGACCTCGTGATCCGCCCACCTCAGCCTCCCAAAGTGCTAGGATTACAGGCATGAGCCACCGTGCCCAGCCTAATTTGCATATTTAGTTTCATCTCCTACTACTTTTCCCTATACTTCTATGCAGCCAGGCCTGACTTGTCACCTCTCGGTGATCATGTTAGGTTACTTCCTCAGTTTGCAGCATTTCTTTCCTCTATTATTCTCCTTGTCCTTCAAGATTCAGCTCAAATGTTTCCTCTTTCATAAAATCCTCAACGTTTCTGCATTCCTCTTATAACGTGTTGAACACCTATGAGTGTTCAATATGTGCAACGTACTTGAGATATGTTATTTTATTCTCACAACCACTGTACAATAAAGTTTTATTATCCTGGAGTTATAATTTTAAAACCTGAGGCTCAGTGAAGTTAAGTAGGATTTGAACCTAGGCAATCTGGTTTCAGAGTGTGGCTGTAAACAATTATGTTATAAATCATTGCTAGCATGCTCACATGTGTGCGCGTGCGCGCGCGCACACACACACACACATGCTGTGAAAGAAATGTCGAGGGTTCTGTGAGAGTGAAGAAAGAACCCTAACTTAGATCTAGAGTGCAGGAAGGCCTTTTCTGAGGAGTGATTTTTAAGCTGAGCCCTGAAGGACAAGTAGGAGCAGCAAGACAAAGGGATATAGAAGAGAGTGTTTATGCAGAATAAACAGCTTATGCAAGGGCCCGAAGGTGCAAGAGAGTTTGGCACATTGGAGAAACTCTTAATAATGAGGTAGTAAGAATGGTGCAAGAGTGGTAGGAAGCTGGTGAGATAGGTAGGAAGCAGAAAATAGGGGCTCTAGCCAGGGACGGTGGCATTCACTATAATGCCAGCTACCTGGGAGGCTGAAGTGGGAGGATCGCTTAAATCCAGGAGTTTGAGACCAGCCTGGGCAGCATAGCAAGACCTCGTCTCTTTAAAAGAAAAAAGAAAGAAAAGAAGGGAAGAAAGAGAGAGGCTGGGCACAGTGGCTCATGCCTGTAATCTTAACACTTTCGGAGGCTGAGGCAGGCAGATCACCTGAGGTCAGGAGTTTGAGACCAGCCTGGCCAACATGGTGAAACCCCATCTCTACTAAAAATACAAAAATTAAGCTGTGTGGTGGCGGGTGCTGTTAGTCCCAGCTGCTCGGCGAGGCTGGAGGCAGGAGAATCTCTTGAACCTGGGATGGCCACGGACTGCAGTGAGATGCGAGATTCTGCATTACGCTCCGCCGGGTGACAAGTAGACTCTGTCTTCAACAAAACAACAAAAAGATTATTAAGAAAAAAAAAAGAAGAAAAGACAAAAAAGAGAGGGCAGCCTTTGTAGTATGATGTGAGAGCCCTGTTTAAATTTTATTCTAAGTTCACTAGGAAACTGGTGAAGGATTTTAATCAGAGTGACATGACTAGATTTTGAGTTTTTAAGCGCTGTACTTGTTAGAGAACACTCTGGCCAGAGAATAATCGATTAAATAAGTGGAATATTGCCTAGTTCAGGTGACAGATGATGATGGATGTAGGACTAAGGTGTAGCAATAGATAGAAGTGGGTGGGAATGTTAAGATAATTTATAGAGGAAAAATCAAAAAATTAGCTCAGTATGGTGGCACACGCCTGTAATCCCAGCTACTCAGGAGGCTGAAGTGTTAGAATTGCTTGAACGCAGTAGGGCGGAGGAGGTTGCATGAGCCGAGATTGCACACTGCACTCCAGCCTTGTGACAGGACGAGACTCTGGAGTTCCAGACCAGCCTGGCCAAGATGGTGAAACCTATCTGTACTAAAAAACATACAAAAATTAGCCGGGCATGGTGTGCACACCTGTAATCCCAGCTACTTGGGAGGCTGAGGCAGAGAATGGCTGAACCCGGGAGTGAGGGTTGCAGTGAGCTGAGATCATGACACTGCACTCCAGCCTCGGGCGGACAGAATGAACTCCATCTCAAAAATGAAAAAGAAAAAAAAAAAGAAAAAAGTTTAGAAGGGGCATAAAAGGACCACATCCTCATTTTTCTTCTGTTGCTTGTTTTTTCTTTTAAAACTGAGGCCGGGTGCAGTGGGTCATGCCTGTAATCCCGCATTTGGGAGGCGGAGGCAGGTGGATCACCTGAGGTCAGGAGTTTGAGGACCATCCTGGCTAACACGGTGAAACCCCGTCTCTACTAAAAAATACAAACAAACTAGCTGGGCGAGTGGCGGGCATCTGTAGTCCCAGCTAACTCGGAGGCTGAGGCAGGGAAAGGTGTAAAACTCGGGAGGCAGAGCTTGCAATGAGCTGAGATCCGGCCACTGCACTCCAGCCTGGGGACAGAGCAAGACTCCGTCTCAAAAAAAAAAAAAAAACACCAAATTAGCTGGAGTGGGTGGCCATGCGCCTGTTATCGCAGTTACTTGAGAGGCTGAGGCAGGAGAATTGCTTGAATCCAGGAGGAGGAGCTTCCAGTGAGCCGAGAGTGTGCCACTGCACCCCAGCCTGGGTATCAGAGCGAGACTCCATCTCAATAACAACAACAAGTTAACTGATTGTATTTCAATAGGACTGTTCGGTTTTTGTTTTGTTTTGTATGAGATGGGGTCTCACTCTGTCATCCGGGCAGAAGTGTAGTTGTGTGATCTTAGCTCACTGCAACCTCTGCCTCCTGGGCTCAAGTGAGCCTCCCATCTCAGCCTCCTGAGTAGCTAGGCCTACGAACACACACCACCACACCTGGCTAATAGGACTGTTCAATACTGATAATAGAAAAGAAGAGAAAGAAATCAAAAGTAAACTATCGTATTATAAAGAACAAATTAGAGAGGAAAGAGATTAGGAGGAGAGAGATCAGATAGAGAATTCCTTCCTAAAAGACCAAAGACCAAGTAAAGATTATGAGGACCTCAAATGGGGCAGTGGCAATAAAAATGGATAATAAGAAATGGATTTGAGAGATGTTTTAGGGGTACAAACAACTATGAAGATTGACTTGATGGTGAGGGAAGAGGAAGAGTGTGATCTGAGGAAACTTGAGGAGCTGAAAATGACTGAAGTTTCAGGGCCTGGAGGGATTGTGATGCCATTACTGATTTAAGGAATGTAGGAAGAGGAGACGCAGCAAGTTTTAGGAAGGAAAATGATGGATACTCAATTTGGCCATGTGGATTGTTAGGAAGACCTGATTTTAATGAGATTTGCAGACAGTTGGAAGTATAGATCTGATGCTCAAGGCAGATGTCACTCATTCATGCATTGATCCAGGAGAAGAGTTCTCCATTAATTCAACAAATATTTATTGAGTAACTACTGTGTGCCAGGTACTGTTCTGGATGCTCCAACAAAACAAAACAAACAAAAATACCTGCCTTCATGTTCTAGCAGGAGAGAGGGTCAATAAACAACAAATGTGATAACTAAGTAAATTATAAAGTATATTATAAACTGTTAAGTGCTATGGAGAAGAGTAAAGGGAATGATGAAGTGGGTTTTGATTTTTAAGTCAGGGTAGGCCTTACTAACAATGTGATATTTAAGCAAATACCTAAAGCTAATGAGGAGTTGTCTGTGTGAATATATTGGGGAAAGAACCTTATAGGTAGAGGGAATAGTCAGTGGAAAGGCCCTAGAGTGGGAGTGGACTTAGCATGTTCTAGGAACAGCAAGGTCAGTGATGACTGGAACAGAGTGAGCAAAGGGAGTCAGAACAATTGACTAATGTAATGATTTAGAAGTAAAATCATCAGTCATGATTTAGATGTAAAATTGTAAGTAAAACCAAGCACTATTCTAAGTGCTTTCAGCTCATTTAATCTTGATAACAACTCTATGAGGTTGGTTCTGTTACTATCATCTGCATTTTCATGGATAAGTACATTGAAGCACAGAGAAGAGGCCAGATAAGTAGGCCAGGACATATAAAGCCTTGAGTATCAGGCCAAAGAGCCTGAGTTTTATTCTGTAGGCAGTGGTAAACCATTAAAAATCTCGATTATGGAACTAAAATCATCACAACTGTGCTTTAGAAAGATTAATCTCATGCGATTCTTTGGAATGGATTGGAGGTAGGACAGTAGGTGATAGGAATTGAATGAAGGTGGTGGTAGATGGAATAGAAGAGAAAGAAGTGTGAGCAATTATACAATGCATATTTGTTGAATAATTTAGCTGGAGAAAGCACCAGAAAAATGCATTATGACAAATCTTATCTTTCAGGGTCTTTTTTTTTTTTTTTTTTGAGACGGAGTCTCGCTCTGTCGCCCGGGCTGGAGTGCAGTGGCCGAATCTCCCAGCTCACTGCAAGCTCCGCCTCCCGGGTTTATGCCATTCTCCTGCCTCAGCCTCCCGAGTAGCTGGGACTACAGGCGCCCGCCACCTCACCCGGCTAGTTTTTTGTATTTTTTAGTAGAGACCGGGTTTCACCATGTTAGCCAGGATGGTCTCGATCTGCTGACCTCGTGATCTGCCCGTCTTGGCCTCCCAAAGTGCTGGGATTACAGGCTTGAGCCACCACGCCCGGCCTCAGGGTCATTTCTTTAGTAGAATGGTGATTCTTAAATTTGGGGGAAATACTGTTGCCTTTGATAAGCTGATGACAGCTATGAACTCTTTCACTAGAAAATGCACAAGCCCATGATCTTATATGCAGGTTTAGTGGTTTAGGGCACACTAGAGTACATGTAGACTAAGAACCTCTTTGGATCTCAGAATTAGGAGACCTGGGCTTGCGTCCTGCTGGGTCTGGTGTGAACTAGCTGTGACTTTGGGCAAGTAATTTACTTCTCTAGACTTTATCTGTAAAAGGAAGTTTTAATTTTAGGTTACTAGATCTTTAAGGGCTCTTTTAGTTCAGAGGGACAAAGTTTCTATTTTCATGGCACTTACTTAGGAAATAGACAACAAATAAGTAAGTAAAGACATTTGGTAAGTTAGATTGAAGTGTTATAAAGAAAATTAAAGCAGGGTAAGGAAAAAAAGAATGATTATGTGCATGCGTATTTGCATGCTGGTTTTGATAGGATAGTTAGTGTGATATTTGTGTCTCTATACTATGGGTGCACAATTTGCTTTTTGCTTTGTCTCCTGACAGGAAAGAATTGGGACGTAAGTGCCGCCCTCAGTGATTTTGAACAGCTACGTCAAGTCCATGCTGGGAACCTACCCCCATCCTTTAGTGAGGGGATTGGTGGCTCCAGGACCCCTGAAAAAGGATTTTCTGACAGAGAGCCTTCTCGCCCTCCCCGACCCATCCTCCAACGGCAGGATGACATCGTTCAAGGTACTGGGGTGACTGGGGAATGTTTCCGTATATGGAGTAGGAAGGGAGGGGATTGTTAAATGGAGTCATAAAGTCTAGTGATTCATTGGAGGTGATTCCATTTCTTCCCCTTCTCCCAGCTGAACCCAGATTGAGGGGGCCTCAGTCTGCCCAGGTGCTGCAGTCCCTCACTGCATCTCTGCATCTTTAGTGTTATCTTGTATAAAAGCCTTCCTCAGATACTGTGAAAGAAATAGAGGAAGGAGAATAACAATCTCCTTGTTGATATAAAGTTCACATAAAGGTAGAATTGAAAGAACCACTACCTGTTTGGGGGGTAATTTGTTAATATTTGCCAATATCTATCAAAATTAAAATGCATACGTACTCTGACTTAGCAATTTAATATCTAGCAATTTATCATATATGTGTATGTGCACATATGTATCCTTTAAATAAATACATAAGGTCGGGTGTGGTGGCTCACGCCTGTAATCCCAGCACTTTGGGAGGCCGAGGTGGACGGATCACCTGAGATCAGGAGTTCAAGACCAGTCTGGCCAACATGGTAAAACCCCATCTCTATTAAAAATACAAACATTAGCTAGGCTTGGTGGTACATGTCTGTAATCCCAGCTAGTTGGGAGGTTGAGGCAGGAGAATTGCTTGAACTTGGGAGGCGGAGGTTGCAGTGAACTGAGATTACACCACTGCACTCCAGCCTGGGTGACAGAGCTAGACTGTCTCAAAAAAGTAAATAAATAAATGAATAAAAATTTAAAAAAAGAAATACATAAATGCAGCATATAAGGTTACTCACAGCAGCATTATTTTACAATAATTACATCTTGAAACTTTTTTTTTTTTCCTTGAGGCAATCCATCTGACTTGGCCCCCCAAAATGCTGGGATTATAGGTGTGAGCCACTGTGCCTATCCCTGAAAACATTTAATGTCCATTAGTAAAGGAGTGGTTAAGTAAATTGTAATCATCCATATTGTGGAATACTCTGCAGTCATTAGAAAGAATTAGGTAGAACTTGGTGTACTGTTTTGGAAAAATTTCTAAAATCTATTCAGAAAGGGGCTGGGCATGGTGGCTCACACCTGTAATCCCTGCACTTTGCGAGGCCAAAGCTGGTGGATCACCTGAGGTCAGGAGTTCGAGACCAGCCTGGCCTACATGGTGAAACCCTGTCTTTGCTAAAATTACAAAAATTAGCTGGTCATGGTGGTGCACACCTGTAATCCTAGCTACTCGGGAGGCTGAGGCAGGACACTTGCTTAAGCCCAGGAGGCAGAGGTTGCAGTAAACCTAGATTGAGCCACTGCACTCCAGCCTGGGTGATGGAGTGAGACTCCATATAAAAATATATATATAGTTTTTTTCAAAAAGATAAGATGCAATACAGTGTATGTAGTATACTCTCATTTGTGTTTTAAAAGACTATTTTAAAAGTTGTATATGCATTTTTAGTAGAGATGGGGTTTCACTGTGTTAGCCAGGATGGTGTCGATCTCCTGACCTCATGATCTGCCCGCCTTGGCCTCCTGAAGTGCTGGGATTACAGGCGTGAGACACCACGCCCGACCAAAACCTGTATATGCTTCTGTATGCATAAAAATTTCTAGAAGGATACAAAAGTTTGCCTCTGAGGAAGGGATCAGGAATTTTGAATGAGAAGAAGACTTCCTTGTGAAATCATTTGATACTTTTTGATAGTATATTAATTTTTTACCATAGGCACGTGGTACTGTTTTTGAGGCAGGGTCTTGCTCTGTCCCCCAAGGCTGGAGTGAGGCTGGCGGAACACAGCTCACTACAGTCTAAACCTCCTGGGCTCAAGGGATCTTACCGCCTCAGCCTCCCAAGTAGCTGGAACCATGGGCATGCACCACCTCGCCTAGCTAAATTTTTGATTCTTTGTAGAAATGGGGTCTCACTCTGTTGCCCAGGCTGGTCTCGAATTCCTGGGCTCAAGTGATCCTTCTACCTTGGCTTCCCAAAGTTTTGGGATTACAGGTGTGAGCCACCATGCCCAGCCTACGAATACCTAAAAAATATTTTTAAGGTGGGCGTGGTGGCTCATGCCTGTAATCCCAGCACTTTAGGAGGCCAAGGCTGGCAGATCACCTGAGGTCGGGAGTTTGAGGAGAACAGCCTGGCCAATGTGGAGAAACCCCATCTCTACTAAAAATACAAAAATAATTAGCTGGGTGTGGTGGCATGCACCTGTAATCCTAACTACTCAGAGGCTGAGGCAGGAGAATCTCTTGAACCTGGGAGGCAGAGGTTGCAGTGAGCTGAGATTGCAGCACTGCACTCCAACCTGAGTGACAGAGCGAGACTCTCTCAATTAAAGAACAAAAACAAAAAACAAAACTAAAACGTATTTTAAAAATAACATCACTATAAGATAACTTTAGACAACTCAGTTTATTTTGTGTATCATATATTGCAAATATTGTATTAAGAACGGCCCAACATGCTTTTGAAATTTTGCCTCCTTTGGATCGTCATTAAATTGTTACATAATTGAAGCCATACAAATGTACTGTAATACTGCACTGAGCAAATTATAATCACAATGGAATATCTGCTTGGGAATTACAAGTGTCATGTATTCAAAACAAATGAAATGATGTGGGGTACTATCTATATTATTGCCCTCCTCTATAGACTGTTAAGAATTGACTGTCCCTATAAATTTCTGATAAATAATGTGTATTGAGAAAAGTTGTAGTAAGCAATATACATTAATGTTATTGATGTAGGAAGAAAGTTCCCAAATGTGTAAGATTTATTGTTGATTGTCTTTTTTTTTTTTTTTTGAGACAGGGTCTTGCTCTGTTGCCCAGGCTGGAGTGCAGTGGCATGATCTCGGCTCACTGCAGCCTCCACCTCCTAGGTTCAAGCAATTTTCCCACCTCAGCCTCCTGAGTAGCTGGGATTACAGGGGCACACCACCATGCCCGGCTAATTTTTGTATTTTTAGTAGAGACAGGGTTTCACCATGTTGGCCAGGCTGGTCTCGAACTCCTGACCTAAAGTGATCGACCTGCCTCGGCCTCCCAAAGGATTTTCTTTTCTATAATGGAAATCTTTTATAATCTTTCTAGAATGAAAATACCCTTTAGAAAAGGTATTTTCCAAGACCCTGAGATTACCAGAGAGATTATTTGACTAACTCTAGTCTAGTGAAACCTCACTTCCCTTATTCCCTCTCCTCCCACCAAACAATGACTAAATTGCTAAATGAATAGGTCCCTATCACATTGGGAAATAATGGCAGTGGAGGAAGACAGAGTCAGAGGGAGGGGAAGATCAGGCAAATTCCAAAGAAGGGTAGAAAGAGGAATGGATATTTGGTGCTAATGTGAGTGCCTGCAAAAATACTTTCTCTATTTCTCCAATTGTATTTGGCTTCAGAAAAAGGATTCTGAAATTCAGTAGTCAGTTAGACTTAGTTTTTCTCTGACTGTAAACCTTGTTGAGAGGTAACTATCACCACATCAGTGTAGAGTTCTCCAAGTGGGCTGTGTGTGTTCTAAGGTGACTCCATTTCTCATTGCAGAAAAACGCCTGTCTAGGGGCATCTCCCACGCCAGCTCCAGCATTGTTTCCCTGGCCCGGTCCCATGTCTCCTCCAATGGTGGGGGTGGGGGGAGCAATGAGCACCCCCTGGAAATGCCCATCTGTGCCTTCCAGCTTCCAGATCTCACTGTGTATAATGAAGACTTCCGCAGCTTCATAGAGAGAGACCTCATTGAGCAGTCCATGCTGGTTGCCTTGGAACAGGCAGGTCAGTGAGTGCTTCCTCTCCCATGCTCTTCCCTCTACTCTCCACCTACAGGCAGCCTTGTGGAGGGGCTGGGCTTGATCGGTAGCTTCCAGTTTAAGTGTGTGATCTGATTGCAGTCAAAGTCAGGAGTCAGTGGGATAAACTTGTGCTGTCCTTAAAGAAAGGATACAGATTAGATACTTTACTCTGGGAATTTCCTGTTTGATGGAAGAGAAACCAGATATACATGTGAAAAGGCCTAGGAATCAATACCTAGAAATCAATACATGAAAAAAATACAACTAATTATAAATGGCCCTGGAACACCCTTGTGAACAAAAATGACCAATGCTGTAGATGATGCACAGTAGTGAACCTATCCCCCCAAATGTATTTACCTTTGTAATTGTGTTTATCTTAAATTATTGTTAAAATTAATTCTTACAGGGTAAGGCAGCTGCGAATTTTGGAAAATCTAATTAGGCATTAAAATGCTTGCATGGGATAAGAACTGGAGTTAGATGAGGGCATGGAAAGGAAGCTTTTATTTTTCATTTCATAACCTTCTATACTAACCATATACATCTATTTGTAATTTTTTTTTAAGTTAGTAAATTATCTAACTTAATAATTTTAAGTCTGGGGAGTTTATAAGCCAGTTTTTCTTTCAGTAGTTCAAGAAACTATGCGCCGCAGTAGTTCAAGAAAACTTACGCATCACTCATAAAATATTTTCCTCATGTAAATAATGGGTTGGCAATTGTGGGATGACTGTATGGAATTAAAACTTATTTTCTTGGGTGTTTTGTGTACTTTATCTTACTGCTTATTCCTTTAAAGTCACACCCCACACATGCTGACATACTGTCATATATGCAGATGATACTCATAAGACACCTTAAATACATGCTTTGAGTTGTTTTTGTTTTGTTCATGATGGATTTTTGCTGAGCTTTGTTGCTGTGATACATACTCGTCTCCTGAGTGGAGGGAAGGAATCAGAGCCAGTCCAAGCAGTCAACGGTTTCAACTTATGTCCTTAGCCTCATCGTTTAACCCAGGGTTTCTCAACCTTGGTACTATTGACATTTTGGTCTAGATAATTCTTTGTTTTGCAAGCTGCCTTGTGCATTATATCAGGTTAGCAGCATCCCTGACCTCTGCCCATTAGATACCAGTAGCATCCCGCTACCAGTTGTGACATGCAAACATATCTTCAGTCATTGCCAGTGTCCCTTTGGGACAAAATTGACACTACTCACTGATCTAACCAATTGTGCTCACAAGATTCTGACTGACTAGATATAAGTGAAGAAGATATAAAGAGTAATCGAGTGATGGTTTTATTCTGGGTAGGCCTCCTAGAGGAGGCTGCTTTGGAGTCTGTTTTAGAAATAGGAAGGTGGGAAGAGCTTCATGGATAATCTCCTTTTCCTCCAATATCTTGTTTCTACAGGGCGTTTGAACTGGTGGGTGAGTGTGGATCCCACCTGTCAGAGGCTGCTTCCTTTGGCAACTACTGGAGATGGGAACTGTCTCCTGCATGCAGCCTCCCTTGGTGAGTCTTGAAAGCAGTCCTCCATTTGCCTGCAGAAAGGAAGCAGTTGAGTCAAATCTCATGTGTAGGACTTGATCCAGACAACCTTGATCTTAGGCAGAAATGATGGTTCAGAGCAAGATTGTGCATGCATATTTGCGTGTCTGTGTGTTTATGTTGGCACAACAGGAAATGGGAGTGAGCCCTACCTTTGTGAGTGAGATAGTGAAGAGAGCACAGATATTAGCTTGGGCTGGCTTTGAAAGCTGACCCCAAGAATAGTGAGTAGGAGTAAGCCAGCAATGTATAGCTAGATGTGTGTGTATGTGTACAATTCTACTTGATATTTATTCTTTTGGTGTATGAAAAAGATACATTTTTAGCAGTCCTTTGTAACACACACTTACTTTATTTTATTTATTTAGTTTTTGAGATGGAGTCTCAGTCTGTTGCCCAGGCTGGAGTACAGGGGCATGATCTTGGCTCACTGCAACCTCCACCCCTGGGTTCAAGTGATTCTCCTGCCTCAGCCTCCCAAGTAGCTGGGATTACAGGTGGGAGCCACCATGCCCCGCTGTAAATAGGCTTAACATTTAAAGTAAGGGCTGGGTGCAGTGGCTCACGCCTATAATTCCAACATTGTGGGAGGCCAAGGTGGGAAGATCACTTGAGGCCAGGAGTTTGAGACCAGCCTGGTCAACACGGTGAAACCTCGTCTCTACTAAAAATATAAAAATTAGCCCGGCATGGTGGCAGGTGCCTGTAATCTCAGCTACTAGGGAGGCTGAGGCAGGAGAATCATTGAATCCGGGGGACGGAGGTTGCAGTGAGTGAGCCGAGATCACACCACTGTACTGCAGCTGAGCAACGGAGCAAGACTCTGTCTCAAAAAATAAATAAATAAATAAATAAAAAGCCAGGCGTGGTGGCTCACACCTGTAATCCCAGCACTTTGGGAGGCCAAGGTGGGCCGATCACCTGAGGTCAGGAGTTCAAGACCAGCCTGGCCAACATCGTGAAACCCTGTATCTACTAAAAATACAGAAATTAGCCGGATATGTTGGTGGGCACCTGTAATCCCAGCTACTTGGGAGGCTGAGGCAGGAGAATCTCTTGAACACGGGAGGCGGAGGTTGCAGTAAGCCAAGACCACACATGGCATTCCAGCCTGGGGGACAGAGCGAAACTCTGTCTCAAAAAAAACAACAACAAAAACAAAAACCCACAAAAAAACCAAATAAACAAAAAATTAAGTCAATTTACAACTTAATATATTATTTGCAGCCTGGTGCCATGGCTCACACTTGTAATCCCAGCACTTTGGGAGGGTAAAAAGGCAGGGGGGGGGTCACTTGAGGCCAGGAGTTCGAGACCAGCCTGGCCAACATGGTGAAACCCTGTCTCTACTAAAAATACATCAATTAACAGAGTCAAGCTGAGGTATCTTACCATTATGCTTTTTTGCCACAGGGATGTGGGGTTTCCATGATCGGGACTTGATGCTGCGGAAAGCTTTGTATGCACTGATGGAGAAGGGAGTCGAGAAGGAAGCATTGAAAAGGCGCTGGAGGTGGCAGCAGACACAGCAGAATAAAGAGGTGGGAGACTGTGGGTGGGAGCACCTTGTTTCCTAAAGTTACCTAGCTACCAGAGTCACCTGGTGCCTGCCAGTAGAAAATATTTCCAAGTGTTTAAGTCAGTGTGACTCCCCTTATGATCCTGAAAATTGGACAAAATGCAGTTAACACCGGTGGAGTAAATGCCTTCTGATGTGGTCATGAGAACTGGTGGTGGGCATGAGACCTACAGAGAGGTTATCTAACCTTGTGCTTTTCCCCCAATAGGTGCTTTATAGCTTTTAGTGGCAGTATTTTGCAAAATGAGTTATGACAATTCCATAGGATTTTTGTATTGTTTTGGTTTTTTTTGCTTGTAATAAGGCTAGATCAATTTTTAAAGACTTACGTTTTCAGCCCCTATAGAAATGTGAATACTTAAAAATCTTTTTGGACATAAATACCATTTGTTTTTCATATACTCAGTTTTAGTTTATTTTAAATTTTAAAAAGCATAAGGAACCAGCATTCTAATCACACACACACAAAAAGCATACCTGTTTAATTGAGTTTGAACAGTACTTCTCAGGAGTTTGACAGATATTGAGGCTGCTCTTATATAAGGGAGTAACAACAGATTGTTTGTACTTGCCCTCTCCAAAATGGGTTGGGCAAACTATGGCTGTTTTGTAAAAAAAAAAAAAAAAGGAAAGGAAAACCACTTTTATCAGCAACACAACCCTGCCACATTTCTTGCATGTTTACACATGTAACTGCTTTCTCCCTCCAACAGCGGAGTAGTAACATATGGCCTGCAAAGCCCATACTTATTGACTACCTGGCCCTTTACAGAAAAGTTGCTGATACTTCCCTTCAATAATGACATTAGCCTTTACATAAAAATAATGAGACTCTCTTTCCTTTTCTCGTGATTCTGTCCCTATTTTATATCCCTGCTTTTATGTATATCTATTTTTTTTTTTTGCCATGTTATGGCTGGATCTTTGGCATTTAATATGGCCACTCTCAGAAGCTTTCCTTTCTCGTCCATCTTTCTTTTTCTCCATTTATGAGAAATGAGAAAAGTCGCACCACTATAGTAGTCAGCTTATGAACAGAGTAGTCAGCCTCTGTCATAACTGACAAATAGAAGAGTTTTTTTTGTTTTAGTTATTTAGAATTTTATGTCCTGAAGATTTAATATGTAAGTAGACATGCTATGTTTCTTCCTCAAAAACATATAATCCAGTTGTTAAAAGTAGGATGATATTAAGATCAAAATCCTGTCCTTGAGCCAGCCAGTCTTCCCCAGAAGATTCCTGAGGGAATAAACCCATAGGGGCAAGGCCACATAAGTGACATTCTTTTTAGCACCAAAAGCTAGAGCTAGCCTAAATTTAGAATCCAAAGCCAGTCAGCAGTCAGTTTTGTGCAGTCAACTTTGTCCTCTTCACTGTGAGTTCAGATAATACGGGAACCTTTAACCACTGCAGAAGCAAGAAAGGCCAAACCAGAACAATGCCAGCTATTAAGTAGAAATGACAGCAACAGCCAGAAAAATGTACCCAATTTCATTATAAAGCATTACAGCTATTATTCTAAAGATGGGGTTAGATTATAAGGTATTTAACCAGGAAACCCAGAAATACCAAGTTCTATCCTTGCCAGCCAGCCTTTCCCTCTCAAAGTCAGCCTTTCCCTCTAAAAGTCCCCAACATGCATAGAAAATAGTGGCTAGTAATGGAGTGTTCGTTTACTCCTTTGCTCAGCGCAGTGAACGTTCATACTGAAAATGTGGCCTCATAATTGTCTTAGCTTAGACCATTCATAGCATTATACCTACCTTGGGAGTGGGAATGGTAGGAGGGGATAATGAACTTGGGAAGCTTCTTTAGCTCCCCAGTACCAAAACCACACTAAGTAAGTTTTGATTCCTGGACTTCCTTGTTTATGTTGAAATTGGTGGTGAGGCCAGGAATAGTTTTCTTAAAGTTAAAGCTAGAAGTGTACACCATCTAGTGGCTGGTATATTATAACAGGGAACCAGAAACAGGCGAGGAAGAGGGAGCCAGAATCCCCCGATGCGTCTATTGGAGTGACTGCAGCACTCCATATAGAACCTGGGCATCGCTTTATTATATTTATTTATGAGACAGAGTCTTGCTCTGTCGCCCAGGGCTGGATGCCGTGGCAGCGATCCCACCTCACCTGCAAACTCTGCCTCCCGGGTTCACCCCATTCTCCTGCCAAGCCTCCTCCGAATAGCTGGGACTACAGGTGCCCGCCACTACGCCCGGCTAATTTTTGTACTTTTAGTAAGAACGGAGTTCACCGTGTTAGCCAGGATGGTCTCAATCTCCTGACCTCGTGATCTGCCCGCCTTGGCCTCCCAGAGTGCTGGGATTACAGGCGTGAGCCACCGTGCCCAGCCTGCTCTCTTTATTTTTAATTGAAGTAAAATTTGTGATAGCATTTTACAAATTGAAATGTGTCAAATAGCTGTATCATTAAAAAATTTCCAATTAAATTTGTTCCCAGTCCCCCTCATGTTTCCAGTGATTCCTTCTACTCTGTCAGTGTGCGGTTAAGCAGTGTAGACTCGTTTTAGTACTAATGTCGGCCAAATAAAATGAATAAGGTAAACTTATTTCCCTTATCATTATATACATCCTAAAGCCAACGTGTTTTAAAATTGCTTGTACCATTGCCTGGTCTCCTTTGGTAAAAATTGTAGTTTCACTTAGCATATGTTTATTGATTACAGTCACAAAATAGACCTTGGGCATATTGCATAAAACCTGATCCTAGAGTAGAGGAGAAGATGGACATGTAAATATATAATTGCAACAGGTTATAACATGTATGACTCTCATGATAGACGTCTCTGTAGCAGTTAATGCCGGCCAGGTGCGCTTGCTCATGCCTGTAATCGCAGCACTTTGGGAGGCCAAGGCAGGTGGATCACCTGTCAGTAGTTCGAGACTAGCCTGGCCAACATGGTGAAACCCCATCTCTACTAAAAATACAAAACTAGCCAGGCATGGTGGCATGCATGTGTAGTCCCAGCTACTCAGGAGGCTGAGGCAGGAGAATTGCTTGAACCTGAGAGGTAGAGGTTGCAGTGAGCCAAGATCATGCCACTGCACCCCATCCTGGGTGACAGAGCAAGACTTTGTCTCAAAACAAACAAACAAAAACAACAACAACAAAAAACAACTCTATAGCAGTTAGGGAGAGAGGATACAAAGGAAGGAGTGGTTGACTACCAAGGGAGATATAGGAGACTATTTAGAGGAATGATACTTGGGTTCTGTCCTAAAAGTTGAGAAATTGTTCACAAGGTCAGTAGAAAGTGAACTACTCCAGGCAGAAGGAACAACTTAGACAAAAGCTCAGTGGTATAAAACAACACGGTACATTTCAGGAACTACAGCTAATTCAGTGAGATATATCTGACTAGAGAAGTGGGTAGGGGCCAGGAGGTAGGCTTTGTATGCAGCGTTTCTATTTGGGAGGCTGAGGCAAGAGAATCGCTTGAACCCAGGAGATGGAGGTTGCAGTGAGCCGAGATTGTTCCTCTGTACTACAGCCTGGGCAACAGAGCGAGATTAGAAATGGAGTGATCGTTTTACTCCTTTTGCTCAGCGCAGTGAACGTTCATACTGAAAATGTGGCCTTCATAATTGTCTTAGCTTAGACCATTCATAGCCAAATAGAAACGCTGCATACAAAGCCTACCGTCCTGGCCCCTACCCACTTCTCTAGTCAGATATATCTCACTGAATTAGCTGTAGTTCCTGAAATGTACCGTGTGTTGTTTTATACCACGCTGAGCTTTTGTCTAAGTTGTTTCCTTTCTTGCTGGAGTAGTTCATTTCTACTAGACTCTTGTAACAACTTTCTCAACTTTTAGGACAGAACCCAGTAGCATCATCCTAAACTCTATATCTCCTTGGTAGTCAACCACTCCTTCCTTTG